CGAGGACAGGGGTCACGCCACTGGATTCCCAGGGTCCTGACAGTGGCCCGAGCCCTACCCCGCCCATCCTACATGTCCTCGGCCAACCCTGTGCCTGCTGAAATGGAAAGGGCTTGCCCCGGGTGCCTAATTATGGTGAGGAGGCAGCAATTAAGCAGAACAGGGATCCTAATGAAGCACTGTCCGAGATCAGAAAGGCAGTTCCGAGAGGGAGTGGGTGCCAGCGATGGTCGGGCTGGGAAGAGAAAGAACGAGGCTGAGGACACACAACCATGGGGACCACGGGGGACAGCGACAGAAAAAAAAAAAAAAAGTCACGCATGCGCAGCAGAGGCCACGGGCGTGACCTCGTCTCCTCCTCCGTACGCTTGCGTGCTGCTTTCTCCGCCCACCGCTCTAAGCGGAACGGTGAGTGGGTTTCCATACAGCGCCTCTTGCCGGAGCTCTCGGGAATTCACGCATGCGTCTCACACTGAGAGGATTCGCACGTTGCCAGCAGCGAGCTCTAGGCGGCGTCATCCCTCCGGCCGGGACGAAGCGCGCACGCGCGGAAGTTCGCACGCGGGAAGGGCGGGTGTGCACCGCGAGCATGCGCCCTGCTGAGCGAGACGGCGGCTCGGCGGGGTCATCCGAGCGCAGGCGCAGTGCGGTGTTTGTCTGCGGGACTGACGGGCGGCCGGGCGGTGCGCGGCGGCGGCGGGGAAGATGGCGGCGTCCTCCCTGGAGCAGAAGCTGTCCCGCCTGGAAGCGAAGCTGAAGCAGGAGAACCGCGAGGCCCGGCGGAGGATCGACCTCAACCTGGATATCAGCCCCCAGCGGCCCAGGCCCAGTAAGCACGGCGGCGTGGGGGAGGGGGCGAGCGGGGCGGGGCGCGCGCCGCGGGAGGCCCCGCCCCCGCCTCCAGGCCCCGCCCCCACTTCCGGGGCGCTCTAGCTCCTCCTCTCCGCCCCGCTCCCCGCTATCGGCCAGCGGTGAGAGGGTCACGGTGACCTGGGAGGCGTGGGGCCCGCGGGTTCCCGGGCAGCCCTCCCCCTGCCTGGGGGTTCCCCCTTAACGGGGCCTGGGAGCCTAGTTACCCGACTCCAGGCGAGGCCCCCCACCTGATGACCCGCCCCCAGTCACCGGGATCCTCGGAGCCTCTGTCGCCTACCCTGAGCCTAGCTTTTCCTACTTCATGCGACCGTGATCACATCCAGGTCCTTCGCTAACATGTACACCTCTCTTCACCAGCTGATGCTACTCCCGCCATCTCAGTGATTGTGTCAAGAAGTTACCCCACCCCCTCCCCCCCGCTCCGCACCTGGGTCCGTGTCTGGGATCTTGTCATTGGGCTCAGCGGACTCCCTCCCACATACAGTTTACCCACATACACCAGGTCCCCTCATACTCCTCTGACTCGTTTCACTGTTGCCATTTTTCTGGCTCCTTCAGAAATAAACATGCAACTCCCAAGCGTAGCGACTTTGTCATTTAGAATCAAGTGACTTCCCCATTCTTACACACCCACACCCACCCAGCCCGGGGATACCTGAGGCCAGTGAGACTCTTATCTAGGCATCCGAGGGCACATACACCTCCTTTCTGATCCCAGATCAGGTCCTTTCTGATCTGGTGCCTGTCTCCCTGGCGTCTTGTCATCTGGAGTCAAGAGCTACCCCCCAGCACCCACACCTGGCTTGGAATCACCGTGACCACATCTAGTCTCCTTGTGATTTCCTGCATGATCCCCTCCCCGTATCCTTGAAGCTCAGAGGGAGTCAGATTTTTCCCCTCCCTACAGACCTGATGAACAGCAGCCCACACACACGCTTTCTGTCTTTGTTTTTGGACGCACCGCGCGGTATGTGCCATGTTAGTTCCCCCCCCAAGGATCGAACCCGTGCCCCCTGCGTTGGGAGTGCAGTCTTAACCACTGGACCACCAGGGAATTCCCCTGCCCACACACCCATGCCTTCTGTGTCTCTCTTGACCCAGCAAATTGCTCTCCTTTTTATGCCCTCTGATATGACTCCTGTGGCTTATGTAGCTCCCTGTGGAGTCATCCTGACAGGACGGGGAAGACATCTCTTCATCTGGGTTCCCCCACCACTGCCTGCTCACCCAGCCTGGTGCCCCCATCCTTGTGTAGGGTCCACTCCCCATCCTCCCTTTCCTCACCTGGGCCCGTGTGGGTTCCTCACTGGATTGGGTGTGTGTGTGTGTGTGTGTGTGTGTGTGTGTGTGTGTGTCTCTTGGGGCCCAGAAAAAAACCTGAGGTGGCAGTGCTGGCACTGGACACTGCCTGGGGTAGGAAGCCCAGCCAGGACTGGAGGTTCCCCGCTGGACTCTGCAGTGCTACTCCCCCTCCAACCCCAACGTGGATGAGACAGGCCTAGGTACGGGGCCTGGGGTGCCTTGCAGGGTGGCTGTCCGAGATGCAGAGCGAGGCTCGGTGAGACCCATGGCGAGCAGGCCGCGGGGAGCCCCCTCCAGGCGTCTGTGTCTGTGTCAGCTCCATCCCATCCTCCCAGTTCTCCCATCTCTGTCGATTTCTACCCATCTCTGCAGTTTGGTACCGCGTGCCTCCCCCTCCTCTCTGTTATGATTTGATTTGATTTCTTTTCTTTTGGACGAATCGGTTGTTTCCGTTGTGATTTATCGTGGTGTTGTTTGTTTTTTTTTTTCTTCCTTTTCCCCATCCAGTTATTGTGATCACTCTAAGCCCTGCTCCTGCCCCGTCCCAACGAGCAGGTACCAGCCTTTTTATCATCGCTGCTTGGACCTCTGCACCATTGACCTAACCGCTGCCCCGGCCGCAGAATGCCATCCCCCCCTTCCCCCTCCCACGTGCTCCGTGTGTGCGTGTGCGCGTGCGCATCCCCCCCTCTCACCCTCACTCTCTGTCCATCCACACCGTCCGCGTCTGGCCCACCCGGCCACTTGCTCTGTCTTCTCACCTCCCGCTCCTCCCTTCCTCTCAGGCTCAGGTTTGGACTCCCTGGAGGAGGAGACAGACTCCCTCACGGGCCGGGAGTCTGTCGCCTGCCAAGGGGATCACGAGTGTCCGTGCGTGTGCCTGCAGGCGTGTGCATGAGCGGGGGAGGGAGAGCTGGGCTCTGCGCCTGCTCATCCGCCTCAGCAGCCCAGTGGACCCGTGTCGCCCCCTGGGCTGAGCCGTGCTAGGCTTGGACTGAGTCCCTGTCCTCTCGGGGGCTGGCGCACCCCAGGGGGTGGGGGGCCCTGGGCGTTGGAGGGCTGTGAGCACTGAGGGCCTCCGGGTGGGAAGTGGAGGAGACCCCGGCGCCTTGGAGGGAAGGCCGGGTGGAGCGGGGAGCAGGGTTGCAGTCGGGAAGCCTCTGGAGAAGGTGGGATTTGAGCAAAGTCTCCTGGGGGGTGGGGGCAGCGCAGGGATGGAAGTAGAGGAAGCAGCCCCCCTAGGGGCAGAGGGCAGGTGCCAGTGGGTCTGGGAGCAGATGGCTGTGGGACATGCCTGTGCGAAGGGCAGGGGTGCTGAGAGAGATGGGGTGGGGGTCTGGCCTCGTTGGTCCTTGTGCATGTGAGCAGGACTAGGTTGGGAAGTGTGCGTGCGCGTGCGCGTGTGTGTCGGAAGGTGAGGGGCTCTGTGGCTCTGCTGGAGACCCTGTGGCATGTCGTCTGCCCATCTGCGTGGGTTTGTGCCATGCCCTGTGCGCGTGTGCCTACGTGTGTCGACTGACAGCCTGGTACGTGTGTCACTCCTGATGGCCGCGTGCTCCCCACCCCCCACCCCCGTCCCGTGTCCTTTCTCGTTCTCTCGCATTCGTTCTTCTCTCTCTCTCTTTCCCCTTCAGCCTCTCGCTCTCATTCTGCCCTCCTGACCTGCCGTGGGCCTGGTACCACCTCTGTGACTTCTGTTCTCAGGGTCTTTGTCTACCTTCCTCCACCCCACCTTAGCCACCCCGCACCGGCCCTGCTCACACGCCTACCATGCGTCAGTTTGTGGGGCCAGCTGGAAGCCTCTGTCCCCCTACAGCCTTGGCCCCGGGTTCTGGGGCAGCCCTCAGAGGGCCCGGTGGACTGTGTAAGGGAGGGGACCGACAGGACACGACACCGAGACGTGTGGGTAGGAGAGGGCTGTGGTCCTCACTCAGAAAGGGGGCCCTGGTGCCCCCAGGGAACCTGAACCTGACAGGGATCCAGGGTCTCGGTGCAGGGGGAGCTCGAGGGTCCTCGGGAGCCCCGGAGGTTGTCCAGCCAGAGAGGGAGGGATTACGACTGGGATTCTGGCCCTGGCAGAGCAGAGCCGCGGGGAGGGCACGGGAGGAGAGGCCGCCGGGCCAGTGGAGGGGACTGGGCCCGGCCACGCCCCTGGGGTCCCCAGAGCTCTTCCATCACTCCCACCAGGCCGTCCTAGGACTGCAGGCCAGGCTCATAGACCTGCCCCTCGCTCTGGCTGCGGTCAGGGTTGCAGGCCAGCAAAGCGCCCGGGCGCCAGGTGCTGCACCATACCTGTCTCTACCCGTTGATCACTGGGCCCACGCCACCAGGTGCCTGGAGAACTGTGGGAGGAGAAAGTGGGCCGTGCGGGACGTGTGGAGAGAGGAGGGGGCGTCAGCCAAGGGCTAAGGAGAATGGCAGGCCCCCAGCTCCTGGCCTGCTCTCCAGGGGAAGGTGAACCTGGGAGGTGCCTGTAGCCTGCAGCCTCCCCAGCCAGGCGCTCCCCTTCTGGAGGCCGAGTGCCAGGGTCTCCGGGGTCCAGGGGTTCACTGGAGGGTCGTCACCCTGGCCCCCACTCCCCACCGTGGGGCCTGCCCACCCTGCAGGCTCCTAGGCCCTCAGGGAATCTGCTCTCCTTTCCCAGGCCCCTCCCCGGCCTGTCTCTGCAGCGCCTCCTCTGGGCAGCTGGGCCCCAAGTCTCAGCTCCCGCCTGTCTGTCTCCTGCCCTCCCGTCCCCTAATGCCGCCTGCCCGTCCTGGGGTGCCCGCTGCCTGCCCGCTGCCTGCCTGCCTGCCTGCCTGTAGCATGCCCGAGCTGTCCGCATGCAGGCTTCTGGAAAGAACCAAACTCGCCGCCTGGCCTGGCCCCTGCCCCCCACGTCCTCCGCTGGCCCCTGGAGGGGCTGTGCCACCTGGATCCCCTCACCCGGAGGACACAGACCCAGCCTGGGGTCCTGTCCCTGCCTCGTCGGCCCTACCTCCGCAGGCCAGGCCGGGAGGCTCACTGATAAGCCCGCAGGCCAGAGGGCGGCCCTCCCTGACCCTGAAACAGAGTGCTGGGCGAGGCAGCTGGAAGCCTAGGTCCCTTGCCCACTCTCTCCCCAGGGTGGTCCAGCCAAGGTCAGGCTGCCCCCAGCGCCAGAGCTCGGGTTGATCCCAGCGGGCATTCCTGGCCTGCTTCCCGGGCGGAGGTGGGGAGGAAAGGGATACAGCGGGGAGGCTGCCTGCCCGAGGGACGACATCCGCCTCTGGGCCTCCGTTTTCTGTCAGGGGAGGCTTGGGGATGAATCCTCAGCCTCTGGGGACCACCCCACCTCAACAGCCCACCGCAAGCCCTTCCAGGTCAGAGGAGTGGGCGGGGGGCGGGGTGGGAAAAGGCACCCTAGGAGTGGTCTGGGAGCGGGGAGCTCCTCCAGCCCAGCAGGGCAGGGGGCTGTGCCACCCTACCTGAGGGATGCCAGGGAGGGGAAGATGAGGGTGCCAGGCCCTTGAGTTGGGGCCAGCTGGGAGCTAACCCCCTCCCTGCCCCTGGTTCTCACCACCCCAGCCCTGCAGCTCCCACTGGCCAATGATGGGGGCAGCCGCTCACCGTCCTCCGAGAGCTCCCCGCAGCACCCCACGCCCCCCGCACGGCCCCGCCACATGCTGGGGCTCCCGTCAACCTTGTTCACACCCCGCAGCATGGAGAGGTGAGCGGCTAGGGTGGCCGGTGGGAGGGCCGGGAGGTTGGGGCCTGGGCGGGGCGCGGCAGGGCAAGCCTCAGGGAGGAGCTGGTGAGCTCTGTGGAACCCTGTGTGTTAGGGGCTGAGGTGGCCTCAGGTTGGTCAGGACCCACTCTCTGTCCCTTCAGCATCGAGATTGACCAGAAGCTGCAGGAGATCATGAAGCAGACGGGCTACCTGACCATTGGGGGCCAGGTACCGCCCTTCCCTCGGCCCCCCCACCCCAGGGAGGGTGGGCAGGACGCAGCTGGCAGGTCTGGGCCGGGGGTGGAGGGCAGAGGCCCGGTGGATCCCCAGCCCTGGCTCTCCTCGCCAGCGCTACCAGGCGGAAATCAACGACCTGGAGAACCTGGGGGAGATGGGCAGCGGCACCTGTGGCCAGGTGTGGAAGATGCGTTTCCGGAAGACGGGGCACGTCATCGCTGTCAAGGTGAGCCCGCCCCCGCCCCGGGTGGGCCCCGCGCCCCAGGCTTGGCGCTAAGGCCCCTGCTGTCCCGTGCAGCAAATGCGGCGCTCGGGGAACAAGGAAGAGAACAAGCGGATCCTCATGGACCTGGACGTGGTGCTCAAGAGCCACGATTGCCCCTACATCGTGCAGTGCTTCGGGACCTTCATCACCAACGTGAGCCAGCCGCCCGCCCCCCAAGCCTCCCGTGCTGGTCTCTGAGCCAGCCCCATGCCCCCTGCCCCTCCCCCAGGACCCGAGCCTGTCTGGGGTGGGCAGGAGGGTACAGCCACCCCGCCAAGCCGCCACCTGCCGTCCCCGCAGACGGACGTCTTCATTGCCATGGAGCTCATGGGCACGTGCGCCGAGAAGCTCAAGAAGCGGATGCAGGGCCCTATTCCTGAGCGGATCCTGGGCAAGATGACGGTGGCGGTGAGCAGCTGGGTGGGGCGCGGGCGGGCGGGTGGTCCCCCCGCCCCTGCCAGGCCCTGTCCCTGCCATCACTGGTGCCCTCCTCTGCCCGTGCCGCAGATCGTGAAGGCACTCTACTACCTGAAGGAGAAGCACGGCGTGATCCACCGGGACGTCAAGCCCTCCAACATCCTGCTGGATGAGCGGGGCCAGATCAAGCTCTGCGACTTCGGCATCAGTGGCCGCCTCGTTGACTCCAAAGCCAAAACGCGGAGCGCAGGTTGCGCTGCCTACATGGCAGTAAGTGGGGCCCAGCAGCGCCCGGCGGGCGGGCATGAGGGGCGGTGCACCCACCCCAGCCACAGGGGTACATCCACCCTCTCCTGCTTCCCACCGGCAGCCTGAGCGCATCGACCCCCCAGACCCCACCAAGCCCGACTACGACATCCGGGCCGATGTGTGGAGCCTGGGCATCTCCTTGGTGAGTTGGGGGTCCCTGCTCTCCGAGGCCAGGGGTGGGGTCTTCTCGGGGTTCAGAGGCAGGTGGCGGGAAAGGGCAGGATCCTGTCCTTGGCTGGCCCAGCCCTGCCCCTCTCTCTCCCAGGTGGAGCTGGCGACGGGACAGTTTCCCTACAAGAACTGCAAGACGGACTTTGAGGTCCTCACCAAAGTCCTACAGGAAGAACCCCCGCTCCTGCCCGGTCACATGGGCTTCTCGGGGGACTTTCAGTCCTTCGTCAAAGACTGGTGAGGGGACTTCCCTGGTGGCACAGCGGTTAAGACTCCACGCTCCCGATTCAGGGGGCCCGGGCTCAATCCCTGGTCAGGGAACTAGATCCCACATGCGTGCCGCAACTAAGAGTTAAAGACTGGCGAGGAGCCCCGCCCCCACCCTCCGCTCTGGAAGGCAGGGTGAGGTCAGATGTGGCCCTGCACCCAGGCCACTGGGGAGGGGAGAGGGGCCCCAGGATGGTGTGGGGGCTGGAGCCCGAGCCCTGGGAGCTAGGAGTTGGGTTTGGACTCAGCCTGAGGGGACACCTGGCCCCAGGGCTATTTGGCAGGGTGGCCCTTGGGCTTCACCTTGAGGGAGCTGTGAACGAGCAGAGGCGCCCCAGGGCTAAGGGCTCTGAGTGTCCTGCACCAACTGGCAGGAGTAGCGCACGCGGGGCGTCCACATTGGAGCCTCCCGTGGGGGAGCCCACCCACCTCTCCCATGGGCGTCTCATGGCCCACATTGGACTTCTGTCACGGTGGGGGGCCCGAGCGCAGGGCCGGGAGGGTGCGGGCTTCTGCCCACAGATCTTGCAGACCCGACTCAGCCATGAGGGTGGCCAGGTCTCTCCCACCTGCTCTCACTTCTCTTCCTTTCCTCTTCTTCCTCCAGCCTTACTAAAGATCACAGGAAGAGACCAAAGTATAATAAGCTACTTGTGAGTACCCGGGGCCCTCCCCAGCCCCCTTCCTCAGCACCCCCGCCACACTGGGCGCCGGGCCTGAGCAAGGCCAGCAGGGAGATGCCCTTGCCCTAAGTGCCCTGCCTTGGGCCCCACAGGAACACAGCTTCATCAAGCGCTACGAGACGCTGGAGGTGGACGTGGCGTCCTGGTTCAAGGACGTCATGGCGAAGACCGAGTCGCCGCGGGCGAGCGGGGTCCTGAGCCAGCACCACCTGCCCTTCTTCAGGTAGCCGCACAGCCCACTGGGGGCCGGGGGCGCGGCCACCGGCCTCCCCTTCCCCACCCGGCCACCCAGCTGCCCGCCAGGGGAGCCCTGGGACCTGGACGGCCGCCGAGGGCTGAGGACAGAGAGTAGGGGGCGCCGACCCACCCCTGACTCCCTGCCCACCAGCCATGGACAGATGGGCCTGCCAGGCCCCAGCCCTTCCCGTCCCAGGATCAGCCGGCTGTGCGCATCCCCCCCGACAGACACTGTGAACGGAAGACAGCAGGCCGCGAGCAGACTCGCTATTTATTCAGTTGTAACCTCTGGGCTGGGGCGGCCCCCAGGGGCCGGGAGAGAGCCGCCCGTCCTGTCCCTTCCCCTCCACACCGCGCTGTCCCACTGCCGCCTCGCACGCACATGCACCCTGGCTCCATCTCCCTCTCTCTGTTCCCTCCCTCTCTACCTCTCTGGCTTTCCCTGTCTCCCTCCCTGCCTCTGCCTCTCTCCTGGCCCGGGCCCTGCCACCCCCGGCGACAGCCCTGGGTCCGTTTAGGTCTCCGGCAAGCCATGAGTCAGTTGGCTGGTGTCCTCGCCCTGGGCAGGCGGGCTGGACGTTGTGACTGCAGCCAGACCCGGGCTGGTCTCTCTCTCTCTCTCTCTTTGATCTCAGGGGGTCCTTTTTGGAGTTTATCGTATTTTATTGTACTTGGTGGGGTGTTTGGGGGGTGGGGGGAGAAGAGCTCGTTCTCGTGGGGTTTGTCGGTTTCTTCAGAAACTTTTACCAAAGTCATGTTTAGCTGCTTGTGGTGGCAGCCCCCCTGATGGCCCACGGGCGCTGGGGCGCTGGGGCGCTGGGGGCCGAGCCTTGGGGGCCTGGGCCACCCCGCCGGGGAGAGACTAGTCCCAAAGGTGGGCTCTGGGGGGGCGGGGTGCTCCTCCCTCGGGGCTGGAGACTGGCCACAGCTTGTAGGGGTGAGTTGAGGACCTCGGGGGTTGTGGAGGGAGGCCAAGGGGCCGTGGCCACACAGGGTGGCCTTCAGGGAAGGCAGGCGTGGGGCATGGTGGAGGGCAGCAGGTGCCGGTGAGGCAGAGGCGGAGGAGGGAATGGGTGACAGGAGCGGGGGCCACGGGGCCCAGGGAGACAGGGATTGAGGGCATGTGGAGTGGACATGGGGGTCTGAGGATGTGTGACAGGGACAGAGGTGGGGCAGGCCGAGGGCTGGGCGTGTGGAGGCAGTCACGCCCTTGTAGTGGCCCTGAGCGCCCCTCGACTCACCCAGAGCTGGCCAGTCCCCAGCCCACACTGAGGCCGGGGCCCTGGGGAGCAGCCAGAGCAGGAGGGGGTGTGTTTCCTTTTTGTTGGTGATGCATGCAAATCAAGTGGACAACGAAATAACAACAACAACAACAACAAAACAAAACTCCAGAAAAACCACAAAAAGCAACCAACACCAAAGGTGAGGAAGCTGGCTGGATGTAGCTGAAGCAACCTAGACTAGGCATCACTGTACCCTCCATCTATCTCACTGACTGTAGTTACTACTAGGATAGTCACAAAACGCCGCATGTTTTAAAAAGTACTCGAAGTCATCTTTTCTCTGCCCCCCCCTCTGGGGGGTGGCCACCTTCTTTCGCTCCAATCCCCTTTGTGAGGGGAGGGGGGCAGGGTGCGGGGCCAGTAGGCCTGGCTCCCGCCCTCCCTCGTGGGCCCCAGCCACAGGGGCCTTTGTGGGTAGCCGGGAAGGTCGCGTGGCTGGCCCCAAGGGCCAGCTGCCTGAGTTTATTTTTATTTAACTTTATTTTCTGTTTTGTGAGTGTGTGTCAGCCTGTTCCCCCGCCCCGCCTTCAGTGTTAAATGGGAGCCTCTCCTTCCCGCCTGCCTTTCCCATGTCTCCCCCCACCCACCCGGTCACCAGCCATCTCTCTCCATCAGGCAGAGGGTGAAGTGGGCAGGTGGGGGCCTGGGGCGGCCTGGGCCCAGCCCGTGGTCTACAACCCCTTCTCAGGCCGCCAGTACTGCCCCGTCCCTTTTTAAAACGAAACACCCTTGTTTGTAAATCCTTAGACGCTTGAGAATAAAACCCCTCCCTTTTCTTCTGCGGTGTCTGTGCTGTGTGTCGTGAGCCTGGCAGGGCCTGGCAGTGAGGTGGGGAAAGGGGCCAGGGAAGGGGTCGTGAGCCCCAACCTTGGGGCTCGGGGGCTGGTGGATGGGGCCTCTGCAGCGAAGAGAGACAGGCAGGGCTGGGGGCTGGGGGGGAGGTGTTTGTAGTGACTAGCCCCATATCTAATGGCCATTGTGAGGGACCTCCCCCCAACCCGATAGCTACAGGTCTGGCCAGAGAGCCCTTAATCCCCAGCAGGCCTTGGCCGTGGGCTCTGATGTCGGTCCATCAGTGCGCCGCCCCCGCTCCTTGCCTCCCCAAACGGCCCCCCAGCCAAGGCCAGAGCTGCCTGCCCGCCTGCTTGGCCCAGTGCTGCCTCACCCGGTCCAGCATGCTGGGCACCGCGATCCTGCTGCTGGCCCTGCTCCCAGGGGTGACCACCTTGCCCAGCGAGCCAGCTGGTATGTACAGGCAAGGGGACGTGGCCCACCACACCCCCACTCCCGTGTTACCCTTTTTCAGTGCACCCTCTCATCCACCCCACCTGGGGGAACGGGGGTGGGTGGGAGGTAGGGTCTGCCCCGTCCCCCGTTTTCCAGGTTCTCTGGGATCCCCAACTTCTTCGAAGTCCCAGCAGCCAGATGAGACCAAGGGCTGTGGGAGGGGAGCAGTCTGCGCCAATGCTTTTAGGGAATGTCTGTGCTGGTAATTCTGGACATTTGAGAACATCCTTCGATGAGGACCCCAGCCGAGCGCCTCCTTAAGGCAGAGGTCTTTGTCAGTGTGGTGCATGTGTGTGTGATCACACACCCCAGTGGAGGCTCCCCTGTGCCTCTACCCTTTGCCGCTGCTGCCCTCAGCCTGCGAGCGAGTGAGGAACGCTGACAAAGGGAAAAGGCCCAGACCCGTGTGGCCGAGCTGGACCTCCACGATGCCCAAAGGGCTGCGGGGAGAGCACCTTGCTATTCTTCCCTCCCCTTAGAAAGGCAAGAATGGGGCCAGCACCCTCCCCCCAAACGGCCCTGCTGTGACCCCAGAGGAGCCCCTGGTCCTCGGTGGATGAGCGGGGGGGTTCAGACTCCAGAAGGGGAGGACCTTTGACCTCGCCCAGGCTGACCCTCCACCATCAGGTGCCCCTCGACCCCTTCCGGGCCAGGGATTCCCTCGCTCGCTCGGGGTGGTGAAGAAGAGCTCTGGGAAGGGGGCTCCGCCCCCAGGAAGGCGCAGCTTTGCGCCCAGGCTCAGGGGCTGGGCCGGGATGTCCCGCAGGTCTCCCGGGGGTACATCACAGCTGCTTTTCGGCTGGCGGTGGGAAGCGCGGAGCCGAGAGCGGGTGAATCCTCCACCGCAACTGCATCCATTTTCCAAAGTAGGCAGTGGAGGCGAGGTTGGCTCACTTGCCAAGGGGGCCTAAGGGACAGAGCATTCTCCTTCCCCTGTGCCACCCTTTCTCCCTGCCAGTGTCCCCGTTCCCCGCGGCGCCAGGGCCCAGGCTGCGCCGACCCCTTTTCCGTCTGGAGCTGTCGGACGCGGAGGGCGCCTTCCCGCGCCGCGCGGGGCCGTTGGAGGTCCCGGCTGACAGCCGCGTGTTCGTGCAGGTACGGGTGCGGGGCTCACCGAGGCCGGGTGGCAGCCGGTGGGGGCAGCCGACCCTGACCGCGACCCCGCCCCCCAGGCGGCCCTGGCCCGTCCCTCCCCGCGCTGGGGCATGGCCCTGCACCGCTGCTCGGTGACACCATCCTCACGCCAGACCCCGGGCCCCGCCCTGGCGCTGCTGCGCGGGGGCTGTTCCGCCGACTCCTCGGTCACCTTCCCGCCACCGCGGCCGCTCCCAGGTGCCGCTCGCCCCGCGCGCTTCAGCTTCCGCCTGCGCCCGGTCTTCAACGCCTCTGTGCAGTTCCTGCACTGCCAGCTGAGCCGCTGCCGCCGCCTCCGGGGAGCCCGCCAGACGCCTGCGCCTCTGACGCTGTCTCCACCGTCGCCGGTGCTCGGGCACGGGGCGGGGAATCTGGGCGCCCGGGCCCGTCGGGGCTGGGCACAAGAGCCTCTGGCATCTGAGGGAGAAGCCCCTTAGGGTTTGGGGATCTGGGGGTCTGGGAGCTTTTGGACCTGGGGGCGGAGGTACCTCGAAACTGGGAGTAGGCACTGGGTCTCAGGCTGAGGTTGGGCGCAGGGGCGTCCGAAGGGGCCGAATTTCCAGGGATCTAGTAGTGCGACACCTGGTTGCAATATAGTGCTGGACACTTAGATCTCTTGGGAGCCCTGGGGACCCGCCCCTGGAGCCGGGGCCCTGACGTCCCCGCCTCTTGCCTCCCCCTCCTCCCAGTGTCTGCCTCGGGATGAGGCGTGCGCGGGCGCCGGCAGTGGCCGCGATGAGAGTCTGGGTGCCGACAGTCCTCACTTGCACACGCTGACGCAGCCCATCGTGGTCACGGTGCCGCGGCTGCCCGCCAGTGAGCACGCAGTAGTCCTCAGCGGGGGTCTCTGGGGTCGGGAAGGGGGATGGGGAGGACATCTGAGGCATGAGCCCAGTCTCTGCGTTGTACTCCTCACAGGGCCACCCAAGGGCGTCGCCGGAAGAGCCGTGCGACCCGAGCCTCCCGCGCCGGCCCCGGGGGTCCTGGAGCCCGCGCCGGTGGTAGCATTTGTGTTGGCCGCCTTCGTGCTGGGCGCCGCTCTGGCCGCCGGGCTCGGCCTCGTCTGCGCTCACTCAGGTACCAGCCTGGGTCCGCCGGGATCTCCGCCTGGCCCCCAGCCTATTCCCACGCGTCCGGTCCCCTGGTCGCGGCGATCCCAGCCTGCTCGGGCCTGACCATCCCTAGACCTGCTTCCGCTACGCCGGCAGCAGCCCCCCAGGGGGCGCCCTTGCCCCGGCCCAGCGCGCAGCAACCCCTACTCCTCAGCCTGCCTTTCCTCTCCAGCGCCCCTGCCCCCCGGCCCGCCCCCGAGAGCCTCGCCCAGCGGCCCCCCGTCCAGGAGGCCCCAGTGAGGCTGGTAAGTGTTGGGGGGAGGGAAGAGGGGGAGTGTAACCTGGGGCCGGTAGGACGGATGGAGGAGGGAGGTGATAATAACTCTTCATAGCGCGTTCTCTCTGCCAAGCGGAGTACCAAATGTTTTACGCATATTAATCCTTGTAACAAGCTTCAGGTAGATACTCCTATAAACCCCATAATAGATATTTAAAAATGAGGCACTCTCTGAAATTTACTTGCCAAAGGTCACAAAATTTGGTGGAGCTGGGATTCGAAATCACGTAGTGGGTGACTCGCGGGCGACTGAGGGCTTAGTGTCGTAAGAAAGTACCTCAACACCTCAGACAGGCACACTAGGCAAGGAGAATTCGGGTTTCAGACCTAGAACCCACCCTCGCCCCGGCACACAGACTGATGGGGCGGCCAATGATCGGTTGGGAAGGGGGTGACCTGCCGTAGCGTCCTCTCCCCTGCTCAGCCTGAGTCTCCTCTCTCCAGAGATGGCGCGCCCCCAACAGGGTCCGGAGACATACCAGCCACAGCCTTGGACCAGGCCCGCCAGGACCTGAGACTCGATGGGACCACCCCTGCGCCCCGCGCCCCCTCTTGCTCCTCCTCCCACCCTCCCACCTGGGCTCAGAATAAACATCTGGCCTGAACTGCAGCGTTCTGAAGTCTGCGTCTGCGTGTGCGCGTGGCGCGGGGGTGGGGATTCCGGGGTGGAAAAGGTCCAGACTGGAGGGGTGGAGCTTTGGGGCGGGGCTCATACGCCCTTATATATAAGTGTGCGGTTACCGCCCAGGGGAGCCCCAAGGACATTTTGTCCCAAACAAAAAGGGGACACCCAACCCCACCAGCTTAAATTTAAAAATAAGTCTCGTCTCCTTCTCCACCCCTGCACCGCCCACCTGCCTTCTCAACCCCAGGATTTCTCCGCTCTCCACTCCCACCGCCCGGACCCTGCCCTCGCTAGAGCCTCGAACTCAGGCCTCCTGCTCCAGTCTCCTCTCCGTCTAGCCTAAAGGTCCTTAAATCCCTCCTGCCCGAGCTCCTCCCTCCCCAGAGCATAGACAAGGGAGTGACTATTAGCTCCATTTTACGGTTAAGGAAACTGAGGTTCGTCAAGGCCAGATCACTTGCTCACCAGTCAGGGCTGGCCGACACCACAGCCCAGGCTCTTGGCTACAAAACACACAATAGGAGTTTCACAAGACGTAGTCCTGGAACGGAGGGAGGGCACGAGATCCAAGAACTTGGCTCCAGTTCACGAATGAGACAGAATGCGGGCGGGGGGTCTCGTTTGCCCCCGCCTCAGTTAGACGCCGGTCTCCCCATTACTTCCCGGGGAGGCAGTTCCCTTCGGCCCGCAAACGCAGAGCCACGCCCCCATCTACTTCTACCTCCGCGCGGGGTCTTTTGGCCCCAGCGGCCGCCGTAACCCCGCCCACTAGGGAAAAGGCCCCGGAACGACGACACCGCCCTCACCCGCCTCACCGGCATGAAGCCCCCACAGCGGCGGCGAGCGGCCCCGGCGCGCTATCTGGGTGAGGTGACCGGCCCCGCGGCCTGGAGCGCCCGCGAGAAGCGGCAGCTGTTACGACTACTGCAGGCGCGACGAGGCCAGCCGGAGCCGGACGCCGCCGAGCTGGCCCGGCAGCTGTCGGGCCGGAGCGAGGTCGAGGTGAGAGGGGTCTCGGGATGGGAGCGAGGCTGGAGGTGGGGCTAGGATGTGTTCGGGGCTGGCGGAGGGGCGGACCCTGGGAGTTGGCGGGACGAGAGTGAGGCTTGGGGGCGGGGCCTTGGAGTGGGCGGGTCGAGGGTGAGGCGGGGGCGAGGTTGAGGAACCGGAAGAACGCCGGAGGAGGCGGGACTAGTGCAAGGCTGGGCCTTGTGTGCCTGCGAGAAGATGAGGGCGGGGCGAGGGCGGAACATAGCCGAGAGGCGGGGCGAGGAGGAGGCAGTGCTGCGGCAGGCTGAGGGGCGGGGCGAAGCCAAAATTTAGGGGCGGAGCGAACTCTGAGTTAGAGCGGAGGCCCGGGACTGGGTGGAAGGCGCAGAGGGACTGGGCGGGAATGAGGTTGAAGTGAGAGTCAGGAAATGGGGCGGAGTGGACGAAGCGGGTAGGTGACTAGGGTAGTACTTAGCAAAGGGTGGGCCCTGGCTGCGGGGAGGAGCCGGAACCGGCCAGGGCCTTACATCTTTGTCAGGTAGCTGGTCACACCTGGGGCCTTGGCCCAAGACCCCTGGGCAGAGTCCCTATGACCCTTAACTCCGGGCCAGCGGGAGGCTAGGGAGCAGTGGCCGGCCCTGGAGCAGGCACTGGACTGCCTAGCCCTGGGCTTCTAGAAGGTCCATTTGGCCTCATCCTCTCACTTCCTCAGATCCGGGACTTCCTCCGGCAGCTCAAGGGCCGAGTGCTCCGAAAGGCCACTCAGAGGATGCATCCAGGTGGCCCACAGGGTCCCAGGCGCCGGGAAACACAGACCCCGGCCCCCATCGAGGTGAGGCGGGGCGAGGCTCCCCAAGGCCGGCCCCTGGAGGATGAGGTGGGAGTTGGGGGGATAACCTGGTCAGGGGAGCCGCAGGAGGGGTAGGGCTTGGGGGACTCCTGAGGGTTGATCCGTGAGCACCTTCTGGTTACTCCACCCAGGTGTGGATGGATCTGGCTGAGAAGATAACAGGCCCGCTGGAGGAGGCCCTGACCGTGGCTTTCTCACAGGTACAGCCATCCGCCAGGCAGGATGGGGGTATCCCGGGGACGGGGTCATATATGTGAGTCTAATTAAGCTGGACCTGGTTCCTGGGTCCCTTTCTCTTGCCAGCTCTGTGACTCTGGTCCATCACCGGACACCCTAGCCTCAGTGTCCGCCCTTCTGATGCCCTCTGCTAAATGTGACGCCTTCCTCAGGGTGGCAGGGAGGAATTGGCGGTGGAAGGCTGTCTCCTGCAGGGCAGGGGAGTAGCCCACGGGGACACTTCTGCCTTTCCTTGCCTGATCTCTCTCCCTGCCAGGTGCTCACCATCGCGGCCACGGAGCCCATCAGCCTCCTGCACTCCCAGCCCCCCAAGCCCACGCAGGCTCGTGGAAAGCTACTGCTCCTCAGCGCCCCTGGAGCGCAGGAGGACCTGGGCCCTGAGGCTCCTGGCCCCGCCCCTGAGGCCGCTGGACGGCAGGAGTCTCCTGGCCCCGCCCCCAAGACACAAGGCCCTGCCCTTGAGGCATCCTCTGAGTCCCTGGCTGGCCCGTCCGCTGAGGAAGACTTTTCTGTGGACTTCGAGAAGATCTACAAGTACCTGTCGTCCATCTCCCGCGGCGGCCAAGGCCCCGAGCTTTCCGCAGCTGGTGAGAAGGGAGGGGCTGACGATCTGGGGGTGGGAGTCTCTGGGCCGTGGGAGTCTCCGGTGGCAAGCCCCGCCCTTCCCTCACCCGTCCCTTTTCCATCCATCAACAGAGTCAGCTGTGGTCCTTGACCTGCTCATGGCACTTCCTGAGGAGTTGTCCCGCCTGCCCTGCGCCGCCCTGGTTGAACATATGTCAGATATGTACCTACACCTGATGGCCCCCCAGCCCGACCCTGCCAGTGGGGGCCTGGGGTCTGGGGCTGAGGATGACGGGACAGGTTCCAGGGGGCAAGAGGAGGCTGGCCAGGCCACTCCTCAGGCCCCCCAGAATGCTGGGCCCAGCGAACCGATATCCACTTGGCAAGCAGCTGGGATCTGCCCCCTGAACCCATTCCTGGTACCCCTGGAGCTTCTGGGCCAGGTGGCCACCCCTGCAAGGTGAGGGGCCCGGCACCTCACCAGACACACCGGACATCGGTGAGCCCTCAGGCCCTCAATCCTGCTCGGGCTGGCACTGGGTTGTCATTGAGGATCTTGCCATGGTGGAAGGTCCCTGATGCAGTGTGCAGTACAGGTCGCCTTTAAGATGCTCGATACAGCGTGGGTCTCAGAAATGGAAGCACAGGGAACTCCCTGGTGATCCAGTGATTGGACTACACGCTCTCCCTGCCACGCGCTCGTTGAATCCCTGGTCGGGGAACTAAAAACCCACAAGCTGTGCAGCACGGGCAAAAAACCCCAAAAAACCGAAGCAAAGTTGTACAGGGTTTCAGCCATAGAACTGGGGTGAGGGGGTTCCAGCCAGATGGCTGGGCTAAAATCACCCTCAAATGCTCCCCCCACTGGTTTCTCATCTCTTCTGAAGTCCTGTATCCGGTGTCCTGTAACTGTGAATAAAGTTCTGGTCTATCCCCCTGGCTCTCTTTCTCCTGTGAGTGAAAGGTGGGAGGGGGCCCAGAATCGGAGGTAGGGAGCCATAGCTTGGAGTCCTGGGGACGGGGCAGGGACATGCCAGGGAGGAAGGTGTGGTTTTCGGTAAAGGCCACTGCACCAGGTCCAGTCTGATGCCATCTGGAGCGAACGTGGCTTGGCTGTGAGGGGACCCTTGGTGATTGTTTGGAGGGTCTAGGCCTGAGCCTGACCCGTGTCGGGGAAAGGTTTTCAGAGCCCGATGACCCTCCATCATACAGGTGCAGGAGAGAGGCTAGCAGAGTGAGGGTGGCCAGGTCGGGGGAGCTGGGCTCCTGACCACAGGAGGGTTAAAGGTGGGCTGCCCATGTGGCAGGAAGTTGTTGGAGGGAGGGGAGTGAGTCCCTGAGGTAGCCTTGGGGAAGCAAGTGGGGGAGGGAGGGAGAGCTGGAGGGGCCTTAGGAGCAGGGAAGGGGGAGCAGAGCTGGGTCGAGGAGGGGGCTGGGGTCCTGGCCGTTACCCAAGGTCTCCAAGTCCCAGAGGTGCTGCCAGGTCTCCCTGCACGGGGGCCCCCCCTCCCTCAGCCTCGCTGAGCGTGTGGATTCAGGGGCAGGTTGGTGAGGGTCGGGTGGGGGAACCGGGTGTCCTCCTACGGCACGACCTTCCCCCAAATCGAACCAGTCCTCTGAGAGCCAGTGAATTTTCTGTTCGCAGAGCCTGTGCATTCACACAGCCTTCCTTTTATAGCAACGCTCGTCTCTCCCCACACACACTGCACACGGCTCCCCCCCGGGGGCGCACAACACATCTCGCAGGCGGGCCGTGGAGCGGAGCCAGCCCACTCCATGACCAAGGCCTCACAGCACCAGCCCCGTGGTGTCCAAAGTGCACATGCTGATGGTGGGACGGAGGGACCAGGCCAGAGAGGTTTGGGGCTGCGGGTGTGGTCACAGTACCAGAAGGCCGTGCCAGTTCTTGGAGACAACCTCCAGGGCTGGCTGAGGGCACCCCATCCAGGCTCCCTACTAGCCTAAGTCCATTCCATGGCCCCCAGAGTCTCCTCAAGTCAAGGGAAAGAAGGGTGGTCTTGGCTGTTCCTAGAGCGAGGGGGATGGATGATGCCTTGTTCCCCCAGAGTGTACATCTGGGTGTTTCGCAGCCCTGGGCGTGCACAAGTCAGCCCTGGGTTCAAATTCTAGCCTGGCTAGAAGCCAGCTACAGGCAGGTCACTCAACCTGCCTGGACCCGAGTCCCCTGGCCTGTAGAATGAGGATGCTAACAGGGTCCTGAAAAGAGAACAGACCAAGTACAGGAGGAGCTACCTCAGCACGCTGCTTGGCATGCAGTAAGCGCTCAATAATAGCTTTTATTAATACCATGGGCTCCGAGGCAGGGAGGAGTGAGAAAGCAAGGGGAGGGCCTGGGAGGGGGGGGGTTGCAGGAGGGACCAGGGGGAGGTGGCAGGAGGGCCAATGAGGGGTGGAGGTGGTGACAGACGGAGGGGCGCGCTGACCTGAACTGGGGCCTGGGCTGGGGGCGGGAGGGAGCCTGTCTGCGCTCTCCCCGCCATGGAAGAAGCTCCGCATCCTGCACACAGCAGCCATTGTCGCTCTTCAGTCACTGTCTCCGGAGCAGGCCCCGGAGCAGGCCCCGCAGGGCATATTGGTATGCAGCGTCCACCTCATGGGCCCAGGAGAGCCCGCAGGCCCGGAGCCCGAGGAGGGGCTCAACACTTGGGGGGGGGGGGGGGGGGGGGGGGGGGGGGGGGGGGGGGGGGGGGGGGGGGGGGGGGGGGGGGGGGGGGGGGGGGGGGGGGGGGGGGGGGGGGGGGGGCCGGTGAGTTACGGAGAGAGGACAGGGCGGGATAAAGGCACGAAGTGGGGCTCCGGCCTGGCCAGGAGGGAAGATGGGAGGGGTGTGAGGGGGGAGGGGTTGGACTTCTCCTGACGCCCTCCCCCCTCGGGCTGCGGGCTCGGGGGCAGGATCCTGAGCGCGGTCCAGGCCCGGCGGCGCACCGTCGGATCGGCCCCGGGAGAGAGACCCCGCGGAGGGCCGGCCGAGGGCGCCGCACCACTCAGACCAGCGCGTAGTCGAACTGCCCGCGCTCGAGCGCCTCCTTGTGGTCTGTCCAGGACGAGGCGGGCATGCGGCTGTAGGGGTCGAGCAGGATACGCACGCAGCGAACCATCAGCAGCACCAGCACCACGAGCAGGCACAGCACGAAGGCGAACACGGTGCGCTGCTCCGCGTCCAGGCCCGCGCCCACCGGGGGCCCCGTCGATGGCGGCAGCGGCTCGGGGGACAGCGTCCACGTCGCGCTCATGGCTCACATCGCCGCGCGCCCTGCGGAGGAGGGGGCCCGCCCGGGAGGCAGGGATGAAGCTGCGCCTTCCCGCGCCCCCGCGTCGTCCCCACCCGCCGCCCCCC